GAAATATATGTTCGTTATAGGTGAAATTTACAGTTTGTTTGTTACTTTTAGTTAATATAGAAATTTTTCGTTCTATCAGGAATATAATATTTGTACTGTTCAGATTTAAAGTTATCTTTTGTTTTCGGTTCGAGAAAATATTTTTTTCTTACAGAAATTTAAAATTCTCTAGAAATTCAGATTTGCTACAGATGAAATTTGCAACTTTTTAAATCATAATGAATAAATAAATATGTAAAAAACTTCAAAATTTTATCAATGATTTAATATTTTTAATATTCGGTTTTCAGTTGTCGTTTGATAGTTTGTAGTAATCGTTTGAATATGGTTCTAGAGCGTCATTATTTTACATGGAAATTAAAAATTTAATGTTTATTGCCGGTGAAATTCACAGCTTGTTCATTACTTTATAAATAATAACGAAAAATATCACTTTTTTTTTGCGAGGATTTTAATGCCTTTATTATTTTGATTTTTAGTTATAGTTATACTGCCATGTAGTTAAAAAATAGCGTAAGTATTCATGAAAGATTCCGAAAAAAGAGGCTTGACAACTATTTTTTTCTACTGCTAATGCTATGAAAACAAATTGTTTTTGAAATATGCAGCTTAACATACAAAAGTACCATATATATACACATTTCAATTTTAAGTTTTCTCACGCTTATGTTGATTTTTCTACTGCATTCGTAGTTATCATTTTTTATACGGAAATTCGATATTCCCAAAAGAATTCATGTTCACTACAGATAAAATATATAGTTTGTTAAAAAAAAACAATAAAGCATTCTGATAAAAAAAAAGTCAAGACATAAAAAGTTAATGAAACATTTTGTCGTTTCAGCAGCGATTTAATATTTTTATAAATCGGATTTTTAGTAATATCGTAAAAAAGTTCTTAATTATCATTTGATTAAAAAAATTTGTTACTTCTATACGGAAATATGAAAATCATGCCCATAAGAAAATCATGTCTATAAGAAAATTTACTATAAGAAAATCACGTTCATTACAGATGAAATTTACATTCTCTTTGTTGCCTTTTAGAAAATCACCTAGTTTTTATCAAGAATAATATATTTTCAATATTTGAAATTTTAATTCACGGTATAAAATTTGTATTTATCATATGATTTAGCTTCTTAAAAAATTTTTTTATAAGGATAATTGAAATTCATACGAAAATCATGTTTATTGAATGTGAAATTTACAGTTTGTTGCTTTTTTGATAAAAAAGATTTTTTAAAAAAATAACATCGTTTTTATTGAAAATATATTATTTTTATTATTGGGATTGGTAATTATCATTGTTGAATTTGTTGTCATCGTTTGTTTTTGGTTCTTGGAAAATATTTTATATTATACAAAAAATTCAAAATTCCGAAGAAATACATATTCGCGACAGAAAAAATGTAATTTGCTTGTTGATCTGGAGACAATAAATAAAAACTTTATCATTTGGTAATTGATATAATCGTTTTTTTATTTGGAAGTTTAGTTATAATTTCAATCTGGTTACAGAAATATGTTTACTTGTTTAAAAAAAAAACTAAAATTCCTTTTCAATGTAGTTTTGCTGCGTTATAGATAATGACAAAAAACGAAAGATTCCATCGTTTTAACAGAGATTAATATTTCGATTATCCTGATTTGTATTGAATTGACAGCTATCGTTTGATTCTAAACCTCTCAAAATACTACTTTTTAAGCTTATATGAACGAAATTTTGTAAACGAAAGATTATATTGACTACAGATGAAACTCGTAGCTTATTCGCCCATTTTTTGTGGTTAATAAAAAGAAATTCATCATTTTTATTTGTGATACAAAATTTTGCACGATATTTTGAAGTTAAAAAAAAAAAAAAAAAAAAAAATTGCATGCAGATTTTTGGCATCCGGAGCTAAACTTTTATTCAGAACGATTTGTGCATGGCATCATTGTGTTATAAGCGTTATCTTTTTAATATCATGAGTTCTAAACCTTAATCGAACTTTTATGTTCTTTAAGTTCTGATTCAACAAGGTTGACGTTCCAGTTATTGCATTATTTATCCAGATTTAATGTTATTCAATCTGAACAAAATGGCAACAATGACTTATGGTTCAGAATTTCTCATGTATTACATTTTTATAATATAACGGTTGTCTTTTTAACGTTTAGAGTTCTAATACAATTTAAATGAATTGAGAACTGATTCTGCAATGCAATTAACTTCTCAGTTATTACATTATTAATTTTGCAATACAGTGCTAATTTTATAATACTCTATTAATTTTGATTAACATTTTATTTTATTTTATATAAATGAAATGACGACAATTTAGGTAGCATAATTGTTACGTTATTTGCTTTTAATGACTTTTTTCATATTGCATATTTATTTTACATTAAGAAAATAATATACAGATTGTTCCGTAATAAAAGGCTAATTTGTCTTATTGCTTGATCCAGGAGTTGCCTTGTCTTCTGGGTTGGTTTTAAAATCACAAAGCTGTGGATTGAATAATGATAATCTTAAACTCAAAATTGAGTCGTCTGCTCAACAACAATGGTTATTTACATAAAAAATGATGTATATTTATAATTTACTATTAATAAACTTACCTCTCAATCCTTTAACGCAGATGGACACCGGCTTTTCCTTTATATATTTTTTCTGACATTCAAATTACAAATAAAAAATATGTATATTAAGGGTGATTATTACGAAACACTTAAAGTATAAATTTGCGTAAAGTTTACACTAGTTAATCGAAATCGTGGAAAAAATATTTTAATATGCAGAATCGATGTAAACAGAATACAGAATCGAACAGAATTTAATATACAGAATCGATACAGAATAAAAATATTTTAATGTACAGAATTGGCTTATGGAATAATACGCATAAATGATTTGCGCAATAATTTTCGCACAAAACACTTTATTCTTCATTTTTGCTGCTAGAAAAGTTTTCATTATTGTTTTTTGAAAATCAGTTATTCAAAGAGTCATAAATAGTTTTGAAAGTTGGATATTTTTATAAGTTTTTCTTCCTTTCCTTTCAGCAATAACATTCACTGTACTCCAAACAAAGCTGAAAAATAACAAAGGTCGACATCTTTTGATACAAATGCTGTACTAATTAAACTAAGCAATCTTAGAAAAAGTAGTCATCTCAACAAGTAAAAAATAAACAAACCTAAAATGGAAATTCATATTTTAAACAGAAATTTTATCTTAAAATACCCTTTAGAAATGCTTTAAAAACATCTATTTTAACATTTACATAAAGGAAATTAATTATGAAACATTAATTTTCAAAAGAAGAAATTAATCATTTTTTAAAAAAAAAAATTTATAACAAAAATTCTAATTTTTTCCATTTGACTAACCCCCAATGTACATAATTTAGTCCATATAGAAAATTAAATGTAAAATAGATGTTCATATTTTAACGACGAAATATAAAACCAAAGAATACAATAATTTAATGAGTAATTATTTTAGCAGTTAACCCATATTAAATATCAGTACAACAATATCAGATCCTTTATTTTATAATATTGCTTTATTTTTCTAATTTGAACGTTACTAGAATAATAATTAAAGAATAAAATTATATTTGTTCAATAAAATACAATTAAGGTTAGGATTTCCGTTGAAATATAATAAATAAATATATAACGAATAAAAGTTAAGTGTATAAAAATATAGTCGCACAAATTTTTTTGCTTTTAACTATGATAAATGTATTATTTTATACGCATATTGACCAACTATCAAATAACTATAGAGGCAACAACCATTAAAATATTCTTACTCTTAAGTAGAAATTTTTTTTGTGGCCAACTCAATATAAAAATTTTATTATAAATTAATAACAAAATTATGGTATTCAATGTATAAATTTATTTTTAAAAAATATGAAAAGTAAACACGTTTTCAAAAAACTCCTTCACAGCATTCTTATAAAATAGCAAAATTATTTGCAGCTTATCATACTTAATTTTAAGTGCAAATTCATATACTATTCTCCTTAAAACGTGAACGATATTAATGATATATTCCAAATCTGTTGCCAGATCCTCTCATATTAGAGCATATAGAAAAAAAAATGACATTATAGTTGCCGTTTAAGTAAAAACACGTGGTTGTCATTTCTGTGGAACCACCCTGTAAACTCTAAAGAAATTGCTAAATGTTTGTCAAATCCACATCATATTCTAAAGGAATCCTTCTTAACAATGTTTTTAGAAAAATTCTAAACTTTTATTTAGAAGTTTTAAAAATTTGGTTATATTTTGAAAATGTCAGAGATTTTTAATTAGTAATCGGCGTTTCTGATCATATAATTTTTAACACCATTAAAGAATTTTAACTTTTTAATCTAATTTTACAACATTTTTTATTTATCTATTAAACGAAACAGATATTGTTTTAATTTTGTATTTTTTTTAAAAAAAAACGAATGTGTTTATTGAATTTTAAAATTTACATTTTAATCATATTCAAGCAAATCATATTTTAAATGAATTTACGTATTTGAGCAAAATCATTTAAAGGATGTGAGGTGAATAATTGAGAAATTTAGATTAAAAATCATATCCATATTTTAAAATATACTGTTTATCAAAAACTTTTGTAAACAAATATTTATAATTTTTTAATACATAAATTAAATTTGTTTTCAAACAATCAGTATTTATTTATTTTATTTTTTGCTTCAATGGTTTGCATACACTCAGATTTCAGAACTACTTGAAATATGCAACACAGATTTTATAAAATTGTCAGGAATTTTTATAAGAAATTTTATGACTGATAATATGACATTATTTTATATATGAATCAAACTGTAATTTTTATTTACGTGATGCATGTTCATATAATTTTTTCAACTTAATTATGTTAGTTTATTTGTATTTTTTTGCCGACTCATATTTTGAAAAGCGCATTATTCTAATTATTTCCATTTAAATTAAAAATTTTAATTTTTTATATACCTACATTTCAGAGCCATCCATTCTCAAAATTACAGAGCTACAAATCATCTGAAAAGCATACACGTGAGTATTAATATATTATAAAAATAATAAGTATAATTTAATATTATTAAAAATTACGTAATTAATTAATTATAAGATTGAATGTATATTAGTTAATATATATTTCAACTGATTATTATAATTATTATATATAGAATTAGTTAATATATATCTTAGTTAATATTAGTAGCTAATAATCTTAGTTAATAATAAGAGTGTTAATTAATTAATTAATTAGTTAATAATAAGCATGATTTACTAGAAAAAATATTAAAAAATTGAATTAAAATCTTTAATTCGTGTTTTTATATTTAATTTTTTTTTTATTATACTTCCCTAAATGTAATACAACCAACATTACCATATGATAACAGCAGTCACTAAATATGATTTTAAAACATTTGTATTACAGTCGAAATTTTCAAAAAAAGTTGAATAACGTAATGTAAGCGTTAAACAGTAATAAACTTGATTTAAATTATAAAAAATGTATAGCAGTTTTAGTTCTTACCGTAATTAATTTGTTAGAATTCACAGCTATAGCGTAAAACAGGGTATCCCTTGGATTAGGCTCTGTAACTTGAATGATATGAAATCTTCCACACTGAGACGAAACCAGCTAACTACCAGAATATGGTAAAATTTATCGTGTTTCTTACTCTATTAGAACACCAAAAAGCTCGGTAATTTTTACCATCGTAATAATTTCGTTAAAATTAACATAAAGTTTAATTTTAAAATATGTGATAAAATTTGGTAAATGGGGTAAAATTTGGTAAATTTATCATGGTACCCTAGATCAGGGGTGGCGAACCTTTATGCACCAATGTGCCATTTTTTCTAAAAAAATGTTTAATGAGGTCATAGGCGTGCCGTCAAATAATTTTGACTTCGTGATTATTGGGAAAATAATCATACAAAATAGTGCCAACTCAAAACTCTTTATTTACTGTGAAAAAAATACATTTTGCAATGTCTCAGTTATACGCGTAATTCAACTTAAAGTAACATCAGTGTGACTTCTGTTATTGCAGATTAGATGACAAATAACTTATATTAGGTTGTAAGATGTTAGCTTGAGCAGGACTGTTAATTTTTTTTTCATAGTCATTTATTGTTTGCTTGTTTTTTATGGTTATTAGTTGCTTTTTTGGCAATAATTGTTAATTCTTTTGTTAATAATTTTTCTTTTTTTTTTGTGAATTTTAATTTAATTTTTGATATGCTTCATAGAGAACTTTGTGATCGGTGGTTTGCCCAAAATCTTGTGTCGCGTAGATTGGTTCGCCCTCCCTGCCCTAGATCATAGCATAATAACCATTTATCCGGTTAAATTTACTTTTCTTTTTTATATTTTTTACTAAATGTGTGGTAATAAGAACTGCAATTTTGTGAACAAGAATTTACGGTAAACCGTTACCATATAAACGGAAAGACTACCAAATGAATGGTTTAAATACCGTATATTTTGCCATTATAAATCAGAATTATGGCTCTTTTTACCATAAGTGTCATTACCCTTAAATTAGATAATTTCACCGGATTTTTATTCTGTGGGCATTTTTTTAAATATTTTATCACGATTTCTTAGTAGTAGAACAGTGATTCTCAACCACTGTGCCGCGGCACTTTTGTGTGCCGCCAAATATTGGAAATTATGCAATAAAAATTATAATGTTTTTTACAAATACTTTTTATAATTTTTCCATACTTTAACCGCGTGAACATCTTTGTCGGTGATTGTCTTGTCTCTGACAATCTTAAAATAAGTTAGAATAAGAAGGAAGTGTTAAAATTGTCTTTGACAATTTTAAATAAAATTTAAATTATAGGTAGGAAATTTAATGACTATTAAAATTATTAATTAACTAAGGAAAGCAAGCTAAATATTAACTTTCAAACGGAAATAGAAACTAATCATTAAAGTAAGCTATGCAATAAATAGTTATAAAAACAAATTAACAAAGGATAATTAACAATAAATAATTAGCAAAAATACTAGTTTACAAGAAATTACAAAAAAATAAGAATTAATGTTAAAAAAAACGAACATATAATAACTATAGAAAACAAGCTAACAATTAATAACTAGCAAAAAAATAAATAACTGTTTCTAACTAACAAAAAATTAATCGGAAGAAATAATTAATCCCTTAATAAACTTGCTTTTGTAGTACATATTATTTTATTTCTCATTCAAAATTATTATCACAAACTATTTAACACAGTGTTTTATAGGTAAGTAAACAACTTTTAAACTAATTTTTCTCATTTTGTGCGTCAAATTTCGAAATCGTTAAAAGTGTGCCACCACAAAAAAAAAGGTTGAGAATCACTGTAGTAGAAAGTATTAGATCTCACTTTTATGTTACTTTTATTGTCAAAATAAAAGTGGCTCTCAGTTGTAAACTTTTAATCTAGTTCACTTAAAAAAAAAATTTAAAGTAAGATTTTAAAAATTACCGAAAAAAGGTTAAGTACCATATAATTTATTAACATATTTTCTCTGTATCTTTTGCAGCTCAATTTGAAATTGTTTATCCCTTGTTGCATTCATCTCAACATAGAGGCAAAAGATCATTGCGAGAAGATGAACGATTCTTAATCATAAAAACATCCAATGATGCTTTCTACATTGAGTTGGAACCAAATCAAGATTTAACTGACTCGATCCAATATCCTAATAGCGATCAGAACATAACCGAAAATTGCCACTATCATGGAATTTTGCTATCTCATATGGGTGGTCTTGCAGCTATTTCCATGTGCGGAACACGGAAAGAAATGGTGAGGCAGTTTTCATAAATAAAAAAATTATTTAAACTATAATTTCGAAATTATTAATCAGTTAAGAGGAAAATCAAAAATCATGTAAAAAACAGTTAAAAACTATAATTCCAAAGGAAAATTGCGCAATGCAGAAGAAATTCCTCAAGAAAATTGAAACCAATAGAAAATTTTAAAGAAGAAAACAATGAAAATGATAAAAAAAATATATATATATACATAATAATGACAACCAAAGCTGAGGGTCAACCCCGGAAAAGGTACCAGTCAGGGGGTACCAGCCCCGGAAGTCATAAAAATGCAAAACTTCTTCTATCGAGAGAGCTCGACAAATGTCTAAACTTTGCTCAATCTGTACCCCATCAAGAAGCCCAGGAAGAGAAAAAAAAAAGAATACAAAATACAAAAGTAAAATACATAAACCAATTACAAAAGGAAAAACAATTTTCAAAAAACCTACTTAAAAACATTCTTTTGTTAAAACAAAAGCACACTTCATTCTGAAAATCCTTCATTTGTCGTGCTCCCTCGATAGGGAAGGTTTTGCAGTTTTATGACTTCCGGGGCTGATACCCCTTGACAACGTCAGCTTCGATTGTCATAATTATATATTTTTTTTTCATTATTTTCATTGCCTTCTTCTTTAAAATTTTCTATTGGTTTCAATTAAGATGGTTTTATTTTCTGCGTCAAAGAACTTATTTTTCTTATATTGCACAAATTGAAAGACCATTAGCAAAATATTCTAAAGATCAAATTATTTAAGAGAAAATTTGACTCACTCTTAATAAATCTATATGCCATAAAGCATACTTTCAACGAATCCACACAATCAACTCGTAGAACTTCAAACGCATTCACATATTTATCTCAGGTGGCCTGCTAATTTGCCTTTCAACCCTTTGACGCAGATGAGACACCGACTCTCCTTTTATATATTTTTTCTGACATTCTAAATACAAACAAAAATATATTTTGGTGTTTCTCAATTTTAAAAAACAGTATAATATTTACTAAAAAATTGTTAGATGATCGGAATTATGTTTATACTAAAATAAAAAATTCAAATAAAAAGCAAATAGAATTTTTTTCTTCTTTTATATTCAAAAATTTATCAATAAATGATTTTATAAAATAAAGAAATTTCAACGATGAATAACTCTTTCTCTTAGATCTAAAAAAGTGTAAATATGAGAAACGAATGTTCGGTTGTGAGCCGTGTTTGGAAGATTTTACCTTTAACGCAGAAAAAGACACCGGGGTTTTATGCTTTATTTCGTAACCATAAATCATTAAAATTCTAAATCTAATATATTTTACTTATTTGACTTAAATTAATGCAAAATAATGATTAAAGTAAGAAAAATATGTTTAATAAAAATTCTGCGTCAAAGGGTTATATCGTCTTCACATTGACCCTGTTGCTTATTGAGGTGCAAATTGGAGAGCTAAAAAGCGCTCACTTAACTCGTCACATACCACCTCACCATTGATCTCATAGAATAGATGAAAAACAACATCGTTTAGGTGCAAATCGTTTCAGGTGTTTACTACCTGGTTATATATGTTATATGGTTACATAAATGCTTTGGTTTTAACCGGGTGCTGCTTTGATTTGCTTATGAGCACTCTCGTGTTTTGGGACTCTTCGAATCTTCTAGAACTTGAAATAAAAGCAAAAATCGGACCTAGTCTTCTTGCAATGTAAAATTTAACCATTGGCCTTCGAGCTACATCAGGATGCCGAATTTATATCTACCGTCATTTTATAGTTCGCATCTATAAGTGCCTTTATATACCCATAACTCCCTTCTAGATGCGCAAACATCTTGTTTTAATTTATGAATAGATGAACATACTTTTCACCACGTTTCCCATTGCTTCTCAAGTTCATCTGAACCAATTAACATTTTTTCAGGAGAAACTATTTTGAAGTTACAGAACTACTTAAAAAATGAACATTTAATTTAATTGTATTTTTTTTCTTGAATAAAATTACAGATGATATTTTTTCGAAATAAAAAAATTCTTAGAAGGTTCTGATGCTCAATTTCTTTTATGATAGAGCGTAATAAAATGTATAATACACTATGTTTTATACAAAAATATAAACAAATATTACTGAAAACTTTGCAGCGCATTTGATGAAAACAAACAAATTTGATTGTGATAAATATTATTCAATGGTACTATTATTATTTGCTTGATATTTATTTATTTTCTTTTACACTTGAAAAATAGGGAAGCGAACAATGCTGCTTTCCGCTCTCTCTCCCCCTTTTGCCCTTTTTGCTAACACACTATTTTATTTAGTTAAATCTGTTGCGTGCATGTTATGATCAAATAAATTTTTTAGTCTCTTTAGTTCCAGAGTTTCAAGGTTTTATTTAGGTGACGAACATCGATAACAATACTATGTTTTATTTCTTTCAAATCTTAACACTTTGCCAACCGAACAAATTACGCCAGACTATAAACTAGCCACCTCGAATTTTTCAACAGCTACAACTAACTATTTCTAAACTGGGTGATCTCTCCAATCTGTCTGCAAAGTGTTGAGAATTAATTATATTGTAAAACCAATCTGAATTTTTTATTTGTTTTTAGTATGGTGCGTAAAATAAAGGACCACCATAAATAACTTTTGATTTAATAATCGGATTTTCACGTTCTAGGAAACAATCTTAATACTCAAGAAAGTGACCTCAAATATGCTAATTAATTAGTACAGATGATATTCCAATCTACGAAATCAGACATTTAAACGTATTTTCTCTGAATAAGCATGCCTTTTAACGGCGAATATAAAAAGTCGTATATTTAAAATTCGATTTTTCAATTATTCGATCGATTTAGATTTAATTTAGTTTTTTTTTCCTAACCATGTAAAATTACGTTCGTTAAAATGATTTAAAATATGTATACCTTACAATTAAAAAAAATTTCGACTATTATTAAAAAAATAGTAAAAAATAATAAATATATACTTAATGTTATTTCTTACGTGGAATGATCTGTAGATAAACGAATTTAATAATTGTGTTCAAGAATATTTAAATTCCGATAAAAAGTTCTCGAAATATGGCGAAATACTAAAAAATGTAAAATTAACATTAAGGGATTAAAACTTCGGATCGCTTTCCTGATCTAGCTATGGAAACCATATTTCCCATATTGTGGCTATACCCTATGTTTTGGGGTCAGAAATCGGAATCCATCACAAAAAAGGTATGTTTATTTAGAAAAGTTTAGGGTCTGATTTCGTAATTTAATATATCGTCTGCACTGATTAATTAGTTTATTTGAAGCCACCCTTTCGAACCACTGAGATTGAGTCCTAGAGCGTGGAGATCCGATCATTGAATCAAAAGTTATTCAGCGTGGTCCATTTATTTTTTTGCGCTCTATACCTTCTTATTAGGTTACACTTTTATCTCATTTTGGGGTAAAATATTTTAAAATATGTGTTAAAAATTTCAATTTCTTAAACCTGCTGTTTTACAACTGTTTTAAAAATAGCAAGCTTAAATGAAATAGTTTGAATCAAAGCTAATTAATCATCACCAAGTAGAAGTGAACGCCTTTTCATTTCATTAAATTAGTAAGCTGCTCAGAGTAAAAGATAAATAAGTTTGAGCTTAGGAATTAGATTTAATAAAAGTTGTCAAAAACATATACAGTCAAACGCCGCTATAGTGAACACGGCTTATAGTGAACTCCCGGGTATAGTGAACGAAATGCTCGGTCCCGTGCCTTGCTATACACGTATAATGTTATTTTTAGTGGATATAGTGAACCAAAAAAGTGAGAAAGTTAGATATAATGAACTTTTTCCTGTCTCCGACTGATTCCCCCCCCCCCCATTTTCCTTGTAATAATTTTGAAATTTGTACTTCAAAATAAATACATATACCGATTTTTAAAACCATCTATAGAAACTACTTTTATGTGCTCGAATGGCAGGTTAGACAGGTTTAAAAAGCGGAATAACAGAAATTCAGGAAAAATTATCTGAGAGTCGGGAAGTGTTTCCATATCTGATGTTGAGGATTGGTCATTAGCTAAAGATTACCAATTTTTATTTGTACGCAAGACGAAGAGTGATGAAAAAGAACACATTTTTTGCTACTACATAATATTTTTCAGTCATTTATATGAATATAATGTAATAAAAGGGAGGAGTTTGGGAACCATTAGTGAAATTGCCTGTGTACCGAATATAGTGAACTCCCGGTTATAGTGAACCGAAATTTCGGTCCTTTGAAGGTTCACTATAGCGGGGTTTGACTGTATATATATTTCTTTAACTTATTTATTATTCTCTAGCTGTTTGAAAGTGCGAAAAATAAATTTTATTATCTATATCTATTTTTCTGATATATATTACGAAGCATTATTGTGACATCTTTAATTTTTCTTGTCTTCTCATTTATTCATGGATAATGCAAATTAGTAATTTGAGCAGTCGGACTGATATGAAGCACGAAAAGTAAGCGGGGTAATAAGTAAGGTGATAAGACATGGTGATAAGTTGATAAGAACAATCCTCGAATTTCAATATTTGTATTCAAAAACTTTCAAACTTTGTGAGGAAAGAAAATATACTCAAATTTGTTCGAAAAGACCTCGATATATATATATATATATATATATATATATATATATATATATATATATATATATATATATATATATATATATATATATATATATATATATATATATATATATATATATATATATATATATATAGATNTATATATATAAACTAATGCCTTTTTTATGCAAAATAACTTTGTTTTAGGGAGAATACAGGTGAAAAACAAAATACTATGCTAAAACTAACTTATGGAACTTCGTACTCGTCTGAAAGTAATTTCAACGGAAATCAAACTAATAATCATGTATTTCTTCATTTTACAAATGTTAAACAATCCGCATCTGACTTGCAATGCCCACAGTGCTGACGTATATCCTCAGTGGTAGACGGATCATGAGTTAGAGTCCCCTTGCCGTCAGACCAACCGTGGGAGGTTCTCGTGGTCTTCCTCTCTATGTAACGCAAATGCGGGTTAGTTCCATCGAAAAGTATTCCACGAAGGCAAATTTATCCCAATACTTGATCCAGGAGTTTCCTTGTCGTCTGGATTGGGTTCAAAATTACACGGCTACGGAGTTGAACATTTGTTGTCGTGAACCCAAAAATTGGGTCAGCTGTTCAACGATGGTTGCACATTAAAATAAAATGTTAAACGAAAGCAGAAATTCATATTATATATCAAAACTGCTCAGTAATGAGATCAAGTTTCTTAATGAAGGCTATGCATCTGATATTAGTTAATAATTTAGAAAAAAGGAAAACTTTATTGCAAATATGAATTAATATTTTCCATAAATATAGGGATCTCCTCGAATCGCAAAATTTTTTGAAAACGTTCCTTTGATTTGTCCTCGAATCATGGTTTCACCTTAGTACTAGTATGAAATATGTAAAACGAAATTGTCTGATTTAAGCTCTTTGATAAACGGTGAGCTTAAAAAAGAAGAAGAAAAAAGGAATCACCCTAAATAATTTTCTTTAGTATCGGATTTTCACGCACTCACGATATATCGGATTTTCACGTACTTTTAGCCAATCTTGATTGTTTGAAGGGCGCTTACCTTACACTGTTAATGAATTTGACTTTGCTAAGTTTTCAAGGGTAAGGTATACAAATTTCTGAACATTCTTTAACCATGTAGTTTTAAAAGACAAAGTACTAAAATTTGATGAAATCGAACGAATAATTTCAGAATTATAAAATTTCAAAAGAGAAGCATTTTCAAATGCTAATTCCGTTTTATCTTTGTATTTTTGTCATCTAAAATCACGTGGCTTAAGAAGATGTAAAAATTTGCAGAACTTAAAATTCGAATTGTTTTCAACCACAATTAAGTAAAATAGTAAATAAGTAAAAAAATATTTTTTGCAAATAAAGTATAGGGAAAAACGAATTTTATTAAAATTATTTTTCTATTAGTTTACAAAGTTTCCTAGCTATAGTGAAAGGCTCTAAAAGTAAAACTAACCTTTTACACTCAAATTGTGCCTTTCAGGCAACACTGTTATTTATAAATTTAATATTGTCTGCCACTCTAAATAGTAAAATCTTTTCCTCTTAATTTTTGATAACCATCGTTGAGCAGCCAACCCAATTTTTGAATTTGCGACCACCAATGTCCAACCTCGTAACGTAGTATTTTTGAACCCAATCCTGAAGATAAAGGAACTCCTAGATCAGGTAGTGGAAGAAATTTACCTTCTTGAGGAGATTGTGATGTAACTAACTGTTATTTCAGTTACATGGAGAGGAAAACCACGGAAACTTCTCATGGTTAGTCTGATGGCAATGAGATTCTAACCCATGTTCCGTCTACATTGAGTATCATTTACATCTGCGGTGGGTGTAAGCCGAATGTGGAATTCGTGTCGACAGGATTCTAACCCAGATCACCTCTTTAGAAGGCTAGTGCTCTATCTCCGAGCCACCATAACTCGGCATCTTAACGTTTATTTTATTTTATTTTACAGCCGTCGTTAAACAGCCGACCCAATTTTGGGTTTACAACTAACCATGTTCAATTCCGTAACCTTGTAATTCTGAATCCAATCCAGTAGACAAGGGAACTCCAGGATCAAGTATTGGAAGAAATTTTTCCTTCGTGGAGGACATTTTGTTGGAACTAACTCCTCATTTGAGTTACATTGAGAGGAAAACAACGAAAGCCTCCCACAGTTAGTCTAACAGCAAGGGGACTCTAAGCCCATGATCCGTCTGCCACTGAAGATATCCGCTGCTTTAGAGGGGAATTCCATTATCAAGTATTGGGAGAAATTTGTCTTCGTGGAGGACTTTTTGACGGAAATAACCCGCATTTACGTTACATGGAGAGAAAAATCACGAAAACCTTCCATTGTTAGCTAGGTGGTAGGGGGACTCTAACCATGACCAGTCTACTACGGAGGATAGTTTACGTCTGCATTGGGGTCGGTGCAAGCCGGATGCGGAATTCGTATCGATCAGCCATCGCTGTTATTCGAACCTGGCTCACCGCTTTGATAGGCGAGTGCTTTATCCCTCCAGCCACCACAATAACTTTGCATCTTAACGTTTAGTTACTACTTTATTTAGTGGTTTCCAGGTACTATATGGTAAATGTGTGAACAATAAACATTGTCTTATAAACTTTTAGTGTTTCTACCGTTTCTTTATTGGTTGAACGAATCCCGACGGCAAGAGGTTAAATTAAGAAGCAGAAGCATTCGACATGGATGCCTAATCTGAAACAAAACCAAAAAACCAGCATAAGTTCTCTCAATCCTCTCTGATTTACAAGGATATTTATTCAAATAAAGAAAGACAAACTCAGAATTATAAGTTATCGAGGAAAATTATTCGTATGTACTATAAATATAATTGTACCAAAATAAACAAAAGTACCACAGACACTGAATTATAATTCTCGAGTGTTAACTATTCAAATCTACAATATCAAATAAACAGTTGGCGGATGACAATGTGGTTGTTAGAGGGATTAGAAACTCTTAGAAAACATTACCCTTGAGAATTATCACTCAGGGTAAGTACAATATTTTGTACTTAGTAAGTTAATAAAGTAATGATGATAGTTTTTATTAATTGGAATTTTCAATATAATCGATCAACTATTTTTATCTTGTAGTCAGGCGTTATTACCACTGAAAACCAAGCTTATGTCTTGAGGCCTCTAACCCATTTGTCTGATGATAAAAAATTGGATCCAAATTTGAATGTTTCAAAATCTGACGGGGCGCATGTGCTGATGAAAGTAAAACATTCATCTGATTATTGTGGTGGAGACTATAAAGGTAATGTTTAAAGTAATTTTCAATGCAGAAGTTCTATATAATGTAAATTTTTATTTACTTTGTTGTTATATTATAATTAAAGTTACGATTTCAAAGATCGATAATTTTAAAACTACTTGTCAGAATGACCTAATATTTTAGTAGAACTATAGTAAGGCAATGGAATTTTGTTTAGTGAAGGAAAAAATAGTTTCAAAATCTGCCGATAGATGGAGCTGTTAGAGTTCACATTGTCTGGAGATATGCTATGCCATAAAAATGCAGAGCACCAGCTCTTTGTCTGAATGCTTCATCATGAATCTGACTATGAATGATCGCTTTCTTCGTTTGAAGCATTTTCATAAGAACGATGAATCTACACTTACAACTGTTAGGAAGTTTCGAACATTAAAATCTATTACATTGATTCCAATAGCCATCTGCAAAAAAATATTGCTGAATTCGAAGAGACCGGTTCATTTGACGTGAAGCAGGGTAGAGGAAGGAAACCACTTTCCGCTGCGGCAATGGAAGATGTGGCCACATCATTAGAACAGACGAACAGTAGTATCTGAGAAGTGGTATTAGCACTTCAGCAGCTAAAGTGTGTGAATCGCACAATATTCATGCAAGAAGGCTCTCCTCCGCACATTGCTACTCTTGTGAAGCAACTTTTGAGAGCTCATTTCAGAGATGATAGGATCATAAGCCACCATTTTCCAACAACGTGGCCACCACGTTCCCCCAAACTTAAACCCGCTGATTTCCGGCATTGATACCCTCCGATCTGTTGTGGAACATGCCGTTTTGTGCTTCCAATTAGTATCAGAACATGGCGGAGGGCACATCGAACAACTTATGACTTAATCGTCAGTATGATGTTTGTTCCATGAAGCTCTTTTTTTTTTTTTTTTTAGCACTATCGTTGTTGCCGCCGTAAACACGTATTCTGGTCTTTTCGCTAATAATTTTTTAGTAAGCCCCAGAACACTATTGCTTCCTGCATTTCTATTGTTTTGGCTAACAACACTTCTGTGTGTAATAAATCCATTTTTGGCCTTTCTCCTGACATTACCCGTAAAATGCCATCTATCGGCAAATTTTGGAACCATTTCCTCCCTTGCCAAGCAAAATTCACCGCCTCACCATTGTTCTGCTAAAATATCAAGTCATTCTCAATTCTCACGAGTAGTTTCAAATTTATCAATTTCTGAAATCGTAGCTTTAATTATAATCACCCTGAACTTTCTTCCTGTGTCATTAAAAATTTTTCAAAAAATTGTTGTTTTTTTATTAACGTATTTTAAGTGAAAGCTGCAAAGCGTGCACTGCAAAAAATTCTGGATCAAATTATAGTATAATGTACCGGCACTTTGGGTGCATCAACCGTAAAATCTATTTTTATTGTTAAATGTTTTATCGTGATTTTTACAGTTATATTTATTTAATTAGGGTGATACAGTTATTTTACTGTAATTATGTGTAATATATCAGATTTTTGTTTCGTAACATATTCCGGTAAAAATGGATTTTACAGTAAAATGTATCGGAACCTTGAGTGCCGGTAATTGTATAAGTTGAAAATAAATATTAATAAAATTCTGTTTCATATAGATATTGAATTTAATAATTATTTCTAATTAATACCAAATGAAATGCTTTATTTTTAGAGTATTAAAATTCTTTCAATTTTTTTTAAAGTTAACTGAATGTTTGTTTGGAATTCAGATACTTGTAACGATTGAGATAAAGTTTCAATATATCAAGTTTCCTAGCCTTGAAATTTGTTAATTTTTTATTGCTATTTACAAAAGTAATGTTTTCTCACTATAATTTGAGAATGCGTCCTACACTGTAATTCCTTTGAAATAATTTGTTACATTTTTATTTAACAAATTAAAACTGAGATTTTACAGTGTTGTTTTTTTGTGTGAAAATATGATTATTTTACATTGGAATTACTGTAAATTTAATAAAATATTTCATGTGTTATTTTATACTTGTATGTGAACATTTTAAATAACTGCTAAAAGCCCATCTGATATTTTAACGTGTAATTTTATTTATTTATTTATTTATTTTGATCAACCTTTAAAAAGGAAAAAATTATATTTGAATTAAATGATGGATAAACTTCGAAAACATGTTTTAAAAGTAATAATAATCGTTTAATATAAATATTTATCCAGGCATTGTTTTACTAGATTTTTTTTACATGTTTTGCTTCATTTGCTTTTATTGCAGATAGAGCTCGACTGATTAACTATAAGAAGAAACTGGCTCAGCTTTAAGATCAATGATTCATATTTCAAATTAAACTATTTCTAAAGTTAAATTTTAAAATTTTTAAACAAATCATGTGATGCTACAGCTAACTATAAGGCAAAATTAACGGTTGCCACCGGTAACAGGTTAACTAAATGTAACAAATGTCGATTGAAAAATTGTCTACCTGTCGCCCCCCCCCCCCCNGCCCCCCCCCCCCCGATCACCACATATTTAATCAAAAATGCACCCCATGTGCATTACTATTCAATTCAACACAATTTAATTGATTCAGTATTGAATTGTTGAATATTGTAATATTCTGAATTTTGTAATATTCTGAATATTGTAATATTCTGAAAATCACTTTATTTCTTCAATTTATTATTTTTTTCTTTTCTGAATTTTTAAATTCTAGAATTAACTAATTCTAAAATGAATTCATTTAAAATTTTTCCTCGTTTTCGAAATTTCTAGAGTTATAACCAATTCTAAAGCGAATTCATTTAAAATTTTGCTTCGTTTTGAAAATTTCTAGAGTTATAACTAATTCTAAAACGAATTCATTTAAAAAAAAAAAATTCGTTTTGGAATTTTTAAATTATAGAATTAAAGCTAATTCTCTTAAAAAATTTCTTCGTTTTGTTTTTTCTTCAATATTTTGAGAATTCTTTAAAAGAAATGCTTAACATCATTGATATCAACAGTTTTTTTTTTAATAGTTTAAAATATATAGTATACTTTGAAAAAGTTATAAATATCCAGTATATAAATTTCCTAATTTTTTCTTAAAATACTAACAAATAAGTAATTTTTTTTTTTTTTTTTTTTTTTTTTTTAATTTCTTAACATTTTGTAAAGTTAACACTTCCGTTAAAAATGGCGGCGAATATTCTTCTTTTCTTTTTCATAATGTTTTTACGATTGAAAATAAAATTATACCGCTGTGATATGAAATTACAATTTTATAATTCTAATAAATTCATTAATAACGAGGAAAAGAACAAAATTACCATTTAGTTTCCTTCTATACGTTCAAAAAAATGGCGCTCGTCAGCTAAGAATGCATAAAGATAACGAATCACCGCTGATAATGTCTTTAGTTCAATGCGCGCAACATCACATACATATTGATGAGGCCTATAAGAGCTCCAACAGCCACAAGTAATTTAGTTTGTAGCCGTCATAAAAATGTCTATTTTGGTTAAAATTACGGTTTCTGTACTGTTTATTATTAGAGGAGTAATTGAACTTTTTATTTTCAAGGTTTTACGTTAGCTTGATTCATTGCCAACTAAGGGAGAAAAATCGAATCCTTGGCCATGCACCGTGAAGTTGAGATGAAACGATAAAAAAAAAAATTATATAATAGGTGTTTAATCTATTACTTAATTAATCGCACTTTTTACGTTAATACTTAATAGTTTTTTTTACTTAATAAATTGATGTTTAACGCTTGGCTTTAAGCAAAATGCAATTGGATGGCTTTATGTTAATTATAAATGTTATTTCTAAATAGTGTTGAAATTTCCTTCCTTTCAGAAAAGATTTAATGAAAATTTCATTTAGAATTAGTTAAAATATTATTTTTGAACGTAACAAACAGTTCGGTAAATATCATGGTATTAGATTAAAAAAATATTGTTGGATTTTTAAATATGAGGTCCTATGTGGACTCTAATTTTAAGAAAAAAAGTATTTCTTTTTTATGTGTTTAGTTTAACAATTTCTTTTTGTTGGATAAAAATATATTTAAGTTAAAATGCTTCAAGTGATGTGTGATTGTTTTCTTAATTTTATTAGGACATGTCTTCATAATTATCGATTGAAATCTGGTAGTCCGGTTTTAGTGAAGGGTATTAAACATATCAGATTAAAATTCCACCCAAAATCTGTATTCACTCTCTTAGTTGCCGAATAGCTGTAACTATAGTTCTAAAAGGGGTGTCTAGGTGCAGTAAAGTGATTGTGTACTACAAGACCAAATTTTTAACAGAACTACCTAGTGAAAAAAAAATCTAGAGTTAGCCCTCCTATCTTGAAAAATTTGTATGAGATACGTGTAAAAATATTTGTGAAGTCTTATATCATCATCGATTTAGTATAAATAAACACCTTATAGACATAAAAACTTAGAAATAATAAGCGAGAAACGCGTTTTTTCTACTGTGTAAAGAGGCGGAACAATAATAAATTAACTTTATTGACTGAGCAGAAACATGTTTAAATAAAGAATATAGAATAATATGGATGAAATATGTTCGAAATAGAACTGTTGCGCTGTGCTTAATAAAAGCAAAAAGTGAACTTCTTGAATAGTTTTTGATCTAATGATTACATCTCCCCGTTCTAGGACTCAATCTTAATCTTTCGAAGGCCTAACTTTACAAATCATAATTTATAAGTGCTGGCATTGTTTGAAGTTACGAAATCAGACATGAGAAACGTATTATTTGGGCGCATACAATAAGCAGATAAAAATTTAATGTAATTTTTATTGTATATACTTAGAAATATATACCAAACAGAAATGTGCCTATCCAATTAAATCACAAGTAATAAAATATAAATTACAATGCCAACGTTTAATTAGTAAGAATGCATCTCGTGCATTGCAATTCTTAGCTGCTAAAACTGCACAAAATTTTTGACCATGAGAGTTTGATTACAAACCAGTTTTCGTATGTTTCATAATAAATAAATTGACAATTAATATATAATCCCAAAAAAACTAAAGCGGTAAGATATTACTTGATCAAAAGCTCTTTTTTCCGCGTTGGCCACTTCACGTTTTATTTTTCAAATCTCTTTTGTTTCTTCTTATTCACTTCTTGAAAATGGCCTCCTATTTTTAAACGTTTGAAATACGTTGACTGTTATTTCCAATTTGTAATATTTTTGTAGCGAATGAAGTTTTTTTTATCAAGTAATATATTAAAATGTTTGATTTTCAGTTTAACTTTAATAAACATTTCTTTTTGGTTATATTTTAATTTCTTGTTTTTAGAAATACCACTTCATATAGGGGAGACAGATCTAAAGCTTCGAAGGGTTCGTCGTTCTGAGTCAGAAAAAAGAAAAGTAATCGAGACTGCTGTCTATGTTGATTTTCCTCTCTACCAAAAACTTAGCGTAAAGCGGAAACAACCAGTTGAAGAGATGCAAGATACAGTTTTGGCAATATTAAATGAGGTATAAAAATTCATTATCATGCAAATTTCATTATGCACCTGTGGCTCAGGGGATAGAGCACTCGCTGCCCAATATGGGGACCCAGGTTCGTATCCCAGCCATGATTGTTTGAGACGAATTCTGCTAGATCGCACTGACTACTGTGATGACGTAATATATCCTCAGATGTAGATAGATCAAAGGTTAAATTCCCCTTACGTGAGATCAGATGTTAAATTCCCATTACTTGATTAAAGGTGAGAGCTTTACGCGGTTTTTTTTCTTCCGCGTAACTCAAATGTGGGTTAGTTCCTGTGAAAAGTCATCTACGAAAGCTTGTTTGTCCCAATACTAGATCCAATAGTTTCCTTGTCTTGTTAGTTGGGTTCAAAATTACTGGACTACTATGTTAAACATTAATAGTCGCAAACGAAGAATCGGGTCTGCAGTTTAACACCGTTTAAAAAATAAAACAAAATATGTATTTGTAAATTTCTAATATTTTGAATGAAAAGTAGTAATTTTGAATTTGTAATCCATTTTTAGAATATAAAGAAAAAGCTTAAATCCATTCTTAGAATATTAAGAAAAGTTGTAATTTTAAATAAGTCACCCATTAGAAAATGAAAAAAGAAAATTGTAATTTTAAGTTTAATTGTATTTTTGTTCTTATAATTTAAATATTTTCTTGAAAAATTTAACTGTTATCGTATAGATAAGGATGGGCCTGAAACGAGATTTTTCTCTTTGTTTTTGACTCATCATTTCTAGCCATTTTAGAATTTTTAAATATAATACTTATTAACTGTGTTGGTAGTGTTTTTCTTAACTACTGATATTAATATAAATGGGTAATTCTTACTGAAAAGGTATAAATTGACTAAAAAATTTTCTTAAATTAAAGTAATTAAAAAAGTGATAAAAACTACATAAATGCCTTTATTTATTTTTGCTATATGTCCTAATAATAATGGTCAAGTTTTATTTTTTATTTTTTATAAGATTTAAAATATTTTAAATTCTGCCTTGTCCACGGAGGAGATGTAATAGTCAACGGAGGAGACATTTTATGTTATAAAATATAAAATGTCAATGAAGACAACTTCATTAATTATTGGGTACAACTGATATGAGTTTAACATTAATAAGTAAATAATAAAATATTTCATTATTAGAGATAGAGCTACTTCCGATTAATCACGCTGCTATGAAAGGAAACATCCATTTTTAACCTAGTTGTACAATTTCGTAAGTAACTCTTACTGAATATTAATAAATTAAAATGTAAAGACTATTGAAATAAAAATTCAGACTCCACATGAAAGTTGAGTGTTGAGGGTACTCTTTTATGAACATTTTATGCAAGTTAAACATACTATCATCCAAATAGCATTTTTGTTTTTTCTTCTTGTTATTGTTTCTTTTTTCCCTGGGCGCAAACGGCTTTTTCTATCAATTTCTAGAAATTTAAGTACATTTAATCACGATTTTCCTGTTAAATCTTTTTCTGATAGAGATTTTAAAGTTTCTTGCTCTTTTTTTTTTTCTTTTTACTTTCTTCAAACAATATAGAGTTTTCTTTTAATTTCTGTCTAGCTTGTTTTTTCTTGTTCCCTTCTCTTTTGCATTTGAACATTTGATTGCTTTCTTTTTTTACATTTTGGTTTTGCCATTTTTTTCCGAAAATTTGAAGAGAAAAAAAATGTTAAACAACACAGAAATTATTTAGAAAAATTGCCAATATTTACTTCTCCGATAAGAAAAAGTTAAACTTAGTTGAAAATTCTTCAAAAATACAAACAAATTAACACATTTGTTCCATTTAAAAAAATATCAATTAAAAGAAAATAGTTGTTCAATTATTAAAATTGTATTATGGTTATCTAACACATTGTCTCTGCCACTGACTGTGTCTTCTCCTCCGTGGACTTGTTATGTCCACGGAGGAGTCAAAAAATAGTTCTTGAATTTTTCTGATGTTTAATTTTAAAGTTACAAAAATGGGGCAGTTCTTTTTATTAAATATACTATTTTTGCAATCCAAAATTCATCTATCAAAAATAAAATAATTTTCTCTTACCTTTTTTATGATGTCCACGGAGTATACGGTGAGAACTTTACCAAACCCAAGTTGAACACAACAATCCAAAACTGACACCAAAGAAAACAAAAACAACTGATAGTTAACATTATAAAATGGAATGGTTACCTTTCCCAGCAGCTGTCTTATAGGGATTTAGCATATGATGCCCTTTATTGTATATTTACGGAACTATATTAATTGTCCATGGACTTCATTTTTGATGGACATAGTTTACTAGTCATTTATTTTATAAAAATAAATTTTTTTTAAAAAAATATTAAATAAAAAGTTACTATAAACATTTAGCTAGGTAAAACTTCAAAAATCATTAAAATGACATTTAAATTGTTTAACAGCCATTAAAAATTATTTTGTGTCACAGACGTACGGACATCCACGGAGGGGATTTTGAAGTCATGTTTATTAAAAAATAAGAATGAAATATTAAATACATTTAGCAGAAATGCATATGATTTGTTAGTTAGAACTTTACGAAAAATGATAAAGAAAAATATTAAGAAATCTGCTGTATTTCCTAATATTTATTACTAAGGGACTTAAAAAATCACCTTTTTGTGAGAATGACCCAAATACAAAATGATTCACTTTTGTATATGTAACAATGCCAGTAGTTACGTTCCTTCTAGTTTCCTTCCACAATCAAATTAACATTGATGATTTTAATGCCACTCTGATTTACCGAGACTACTAAATTGTCGGACTACTATATTGATCTGTGCTAAGGTCTTCTCTCCTCTAGGAGGTTTTGTTGGCTGGCCAGCATTAATAGCCCAACGACCTACATGTGAAGTTGAGCACTTTACGAAAGAACAGTTTATAGAAGTCCGATACCTCACAACTCTTATTAGTCTCTTCGCAGACTTATCAAAGTGGTAGTCCACTTGCGCATTGTGATTCTTGACTTCTACCTCTTCGAGTGATCTACTGGATCGAGTGATCAAGTCTTACGATCACAGTGGAACATAAACGAACTACAATGGTTTTCCTTATTTTATGCCGCAAAAAATTTATTACGTGTTATAGTTTGAAAACATGCATGGTATTCCGTAATCACTCCTCTTAATATATGTTTTTAGAATCCTTCACAATTCCTTTAGAAAAATACACTTATTAGAAACCGCCAATCAGCATCTATCAAAATCTGATGAATCACTATAAGAGAAGACGAAACAAAGTCTGTTTGATTGCCGTTGAGAAATAGACAAAGGAAGAAAGAATATTAAAATAAAAAATAAAAAACTTTAAGTTGAACCCAGCAAACAGACTAGTTTTTTTTCCCTCATCTTTAATTCCGCTTTCGATCTCCATTAATTCGATTCATCAGATCCTCGCTTAAATATAAATTTGCCCTCCCTAATGTATATGCTTTTTGGATTCCATTTTTAAAAAAAGAATTATAATGCAATATGTATGTGTTTCGAATATTTTTAATTCATTTATGTTAATATCTATTTACATCTTACAGGTGCAGTTGATCTATAACTATCAGTCCTTAAAAACGAAATTTAAAATAGCTGTTGTGAAGCTTGAGATATTGTCTGAAGGAAAAGTAATTTTTTTAAAAATTTATTTCACCAGTTTTTCTCAATTGTTAAAAAAAAGAGTTTTACTTTATGAAATTTTTAACTTTTATTCAGGAAGCACCTGATGCTGCAGATGGTGATATTGATGAGTATTTAGATAATTTTTGTTTGTGGCAATCCACAAAAAATCCAGCTATCAACTCAGATGCTCATTGGGATCACGCTCTGATGTTGACAGGGTTAGTATTTATTTTTGTCTCTTTTAACTATCGACCCGTTTTTATTTTTAAAATTCATCAGAATTTAAGCAATTTTTCGACTTTGATTCATTATCCACTTTTTCTGCATCATATAAAAATTGCAATATATTCAAAATTAAAATTTTTTTAATTCTCAAACAATCAATTCGGGTATTTCTGTCCGAGTGAAATCATACTGAGCGCAATCATTATTACTGATGGTTATACCAGTGACAGAAAAACTTGGGATTCAAACTGCATTAAAAAAAGATACTCCACAACTTAAAATGAGAAAAAAACATACAAGCTCACACCAACTTTATAATATTATTAACAATAATATGTTCTTATATACCAAACTAAAAATTATTAAACGCGTTCTGATCAAAATATTGACCAGTTAAGAAAACAGTACTACTTTATTTTATTTTATTTATTTATTTTCTTTTATTTCCAATGAGCTGCACAATCGGTCTTGCCGATGAGCAGACCTAGTGTGTTCTCCAGAGGTGGTATCCACTCTTTCAGGACCACCACAATGGGAGAGATAACGTTGGTCATGTTAATTTGGACGTCTAGTTTCTGCCACACTAGATGGCAGCACCTAGTACTTAGTGAAATAAAAAGGTCGTGAGTATATGCCCCAAAAAGAATCGAAAATATACAATTAATGCTTGTATATTGTAAAATAAGCTTGTATTGCTTTGTATACTACGTATATATTGAATTGTTGTAAATGACGCTTGTGTTGTTCGTTAATGAACACTCGAACTCTCGACTTCGGAGGACAAAAATCCTCCATCCGTTCGACTTTTCTCAATTCAATACTTTATGTTCTCTAAAAATCGTTGGTCATCTTGCGTCTGATGATCATATGCTTGAGAGGTCCAGACCTAGTGCCCCTAAACAGCAGAATTTTACTTAGAATTTATTTTTCTCTGGTGTTTTTTTTTTCAACTTATGAGTTTACGAAAATTGAAATTCTTATCAACTTTACATCATAATTCTCTTATGTTATGAATCATTCATAAGCTTTTTGTACATTAATAACATGTACATTTGGTACAAGATTATTACCAAGGAAGGAGCATACAGTTCTAAGTCCATACAGTCCGAAGATTTCTAAATCAGGCCTTGGGTCTCTCGTAAGAATCTCACTGTTTATAAGAGTGTTTAAAAGAATATTATCAGTTCTTATCGAGTGATGGTTATATTATCAAGTAGTTTTAGGTGACATAGTTTTCGCTTGAATTGATCAGTCAATGCTTGTGAGTGCAAGATATTTAATGCTTGTCAAGGATTTCATTTCCCAAATATTATTCCGTTTGTACACTTTTATTCAACCAGAAGAGTGTTCAAGTCCATCTTACCCTCAGTAGTGTACAAAGTATTAAATTATAGTCTTACGTCATACAACGTATAAACACTCTTTTTATTAAATTTTATACATTGGCGTATTTTAAATAATTGAATTTTTTATACTGAATTACAGAAATAAAAACTAATATAGGTGAAAAAAGTAATTTTTTTTATGTGAGAAAAAATTAGACATCAAACTAAACATTTCCTAAGTGACCAAAAATAAATAAATAGGAATAAATAAAGGAATGTTTAAATCTATTTTACATATACCTTGCACAAGAATAAAGTTTCGTGTAGACATACTATTTGAATATAGGTAAAAAAAAAATTTTGTTCTGTTTTTTAAAAAAAAGGTCTTTTAATGAAATAAAATAATTGCAAATACCCTGCCGGTCTAACTGCGATGCTTTGAGGGTTTAAAAATACTTTCACTACTTTTAGAGAGGAGGTACTAAAAGTTCTATAGCAGGTAAAACCATTTTATTTTCAATTGAAAGTTTGGGTAACTTTTGAGATATATTTACTGTGTATTGAGTTTGTAAAAGTTTAATAAGAGTAAAAATTTAAAAATAATTTAAATGGGTGGTAGCATGTTTAATTCATATGCCTACTGCTTTGAAGAATCGGATATTTTTTTTAAAATTTTTTATTCTTATATGTTTATTTTCTTATAGGCATGATCTTCACAAAGTTGTAGAAGGAAACGAGAAAAATAAAAAAGTTTTAGGTATGATTGACTACAAAAGATACCTCTTTATAAGAATGCATAGTACTTTTTCCGTGATTATTAAAATGTATTTTAAGTTATACTTTTAGTAATATTTCTAGCACTTAAATAGAAGAACATATGCTGATATAACATGTTTAAAAGCTGGAAACAAATTAAACATTGAGAGTTACTAAACTTTACAAACTGAAAGTTAATATCTTTCTGAAATAAAACCTTTTCCATAATGATGTTAAAAATAAAGAATTTGAAAAAAAATTCCCTTTAGAACAATACTTAATTTTTGTCATTTGCAAATAACGGCCTTCGCGCGAGGTTGAACAACTTTTTTTTAAATAATTTTTGCTGTCCAGCAAATATGAGAAAATATTATCCTGAAAGTTGAAACTCATTTAAGTAAAAAAAGATACGTTTTATGCTTTGATGCACACATTGATGAAAAAAAGTTTTCACCAATTTTAAATGATGTTTTTTCAAATAAGGAACTTTATTCTTTCAAATATTATAATTCTGGTAAAGTTTGCGTCATATAAATAAATGTCTTTTTGTTTTACGTATGGATTTTTTTATTATAATTTTTTTTTATTTTTTAAATATCAATTTTTCTTTTTTTAATAATTTTATCTAGTTTTTTTTCCATAAAAAAACAATAATGATAAAAAAATTACTATATCCACCAAAAATTAGATAAATACTAATTCAACTCTAAGAGTTTGATGCTCTTAGAGTATGCATGAAAGCTCTTAGAGTTTTCATACATACTTAATAGGGAGGTCTTACTCTATCAGCCATATGGCATTATTTTTTTCTTTTTATTTTACAACTTTTACTAACTAGATTAAATTAAGAATCATAATATTGTTAAAATAAATATTGACGGTCTTTACGTTAGTAGAATTTTCGTCAAAAAGGAATTTTAAAAAATATAAAAACACATTAGAAGTCTCAAATTAATATATAAGCTAAGAAAAAGAGAGCTGTCGAAACTAAGGATTAAAACAGGATTGAAAGCATTAATACCTGCTTTAAACGTAGAGATTTTCTAATAGCTAATAGTCATTCTTTAACTTCTTTCTGTTTCCTCCTGCAATCTAAACAAATTTTAATGATTTCAGTCCCGCTTTCCTCAGTAGTGTATATAGTGATTCGCTATAGTTCGATAACGCTTAAGTTTTTATCTAACTTAAATATTGATTTGCTACTCCTAATCTTTCCATGTTTTTTAATTAATTTTTAAAAAAGCTTTTGAAAATAACAAAAGCAATCATTACGGAAACTCCAATATATGTATTTATTTATTAATTATGTCTTTCAAGAAATAATTGAACAAAATACGCCTTTTTGATAATTATTGCTGTATCTTACTTAAATAATTATTATCAATAAAGTAGTTCCCCAAAACATAATATTTATACTTTTTCTTATTAAAAAAAAAGGTTCAATTTAAAGCAGCTTTTTATCTCATCAAAAGTTCTAAAAATAATTCATAAAGTAAAATGTAGAAAATATTATTTAGGAAGTTCCATTACATAATAATTTATATAAAAATAATAATGCTCATTTGTTTTTCTTCAAAATAGGCTTAGCTTGGGTGAATGGTATGTGTCGTCCTAAGCACAGCTGTACTTTAAATGAAGGTTCGAGTTTTGAAGCTGCTTTTGTTATAGCCCATGAAATGGGACACAGGTTTGTAGTCATTTGAATTTATTTCCATTCATAAATAAAGAAATTAATGTAACATTTCTTTGTCATTAGCTGTTAACAATAACGTATACTTTTCAATCTAAGGTTAATCTACGTATCAGTTTAATTTCTTCCAGATCAAACTACGCCGCTTCGATTTTAATTTAAGATTTAAGAATTAATAAAAAAAACCGAATAAGGGGGAGTTATTACGTGTGTATTAAGTTTCTGATTTTTTTTCCACGTAAAAACTGTTAGAAAAAGTTTAAATTAAATAAAATTTTAATTTTTTTAAAGCAACGAAGCTAGATTAAATTAAAAAAAAAAACAAGAAAGTTCTTTGAACAAAAATTGTTCCATTTTACCACATTTTTATTATGTCGATGAGGTTGGAAATTTGCAATCAAATTTTCATTCGCTTTCCGATTAGTTTGAGTACTAAAATCTGTACTGGAGTGATATGTCTCTTTATGATGCGAGTTTAATCAGTTTTTTGATATCTACAAAACAAAATAAATGTTATTTTTTCTCTACAAGTTATTTATCATCCATTAAAATTTCATTCACTTTCTGACTAACTAGTGTGTTCAAATATCCCCTATATGTGCTACATGCAGTACAAGCTGCAGACTGCTGCCCGGCTGCATGTTGCAAGCAAAAACTATCGCTATGGTATCGCCAAAGTCAGTTTGACTTCAGTTCAAATTTTGACCGATTTATTCAAATTTCATACTGAACACTGATGAAAATATGAGAGCCAATCGTTTTCTCAGTGTTGCTTGCTAAATGTATCGCAATTTATTGCCGATCGAAATTTTGACCACCTTACAACAGGCAACTGTATGCTATTTTGCTTCCTGTCAAAAACTGTTGATTGCAGAATTGTATTGGCATAATTTTGTCACATAGAGAATATCAATAACTGCACCCGTTATATCTCAAGTTGTGATTGGGCGGCGGCATTGTATTTTACAGTAAAGTAGAGTAAATGTGCATCATCAGCTTATTTCGAGAATTAAATGAAAAATGATAAAAAGCATATTTAGAATTTTGTCTCCCCTTATCTCCACCCCATCGACAGTTGAGTTCTGTCGGAAGAAGAAGGAGCTCTTAATGTGTTATTACGTTAAAGTAGGAAACACATGTTAAGTACCTTTGGAAACATTCTAGGTATAGAACGTGTTATACCAGGCGTGTTATATCATTAATTTATTCTGCCATAAACCTATAAACAAGGCAGCAACATGTCATAGAAACGGCAGTACGATGTTTTTATATAAAACTAATTGTCTCGATTTGACTAATATTTCTTTAACCTGTTTTTCCAATGTAAGGTAGGTACATTAAGTATCAGTTTGAAAACAACCAAATTTCTTTGTTAAAGAACATGTTATGGCAGACGATAAGTGTAGAACATCAATTTATGCTGCAGTAAACCCTTAAATGGATGCCTGCAAGCGACGTCACGTTTGGGTTAATCCTCGCATTTGCTTATGCCGCGATTCAACAGCCATTCAAGTTCGACGCATACACGTGACGTTGCTTGCAGGTATCCAATTAAATCTGATCCAAAAATTGATTCACGGTTATAATAAACCAAGCCTTAATAGCTGCCACGTTTACACGCCAGGCGCGTGATTAGATCCAACCATGTGATTTCAGCAGTGAGGCAACTTTCAAATGAAAAATATGCTTTGAAAACGGTCTCATTGTGTTTCGACATAAAGATGATTTCCTTAAATCAATTAACATTAACTTAACATGTTACTACACTAATTTCTTTGTTGGATGATGTGATGGAATTACAATATCCCTCGATCTATTCATGCTATTTGGGTGCGGTGAAGGTTGATACTAGATCTTGCCCCAAAACTTGATATTGAAGAGAAATGCTTGATTAAATTTTGAAATTATTTATTTATTTATTTATTGCAAAAACAGTCTAGGTATGATGCATGACGGAAGAGGGAATGATTGCAATCCCAGCACCTATCTCATGTCCGAGAAGACTGGACCTGGGAGAATAACATGGTCCAGTTGCAGTAACGACTATCTTGACAGATTTTTCCAGTAAGTCATCATTAGACATATTTCATTACAAGTTTGAACAAAGATTAGAAACATAGTAAAATGAACTTTAAAAATATAATGGTAGGCAAAATTACAATAATTGCGACCGACTCTACCATTCACAACACCTTAGAAAAAAAATTTGCATGCTTTAAATTTATGTTTTTATTTTAATTTTGATGTAGAAGTAAGTTTTTATTAACATATTTTGGGAAGTCATAAAAATAAATCCCAAAATATAAGCATTAGCAAGTATATTTTAATTTTATTTTATGGTAGCGGAGGGACTGCTCTAATATACTTTTTTAACTTTTTAAATATTATAGTAATATCATTTTGTCAAATAAACTAAATACTTTTTCATGTATGGACGACACAAAATAAAAATATTTTTTTAATGATTGATTTTATTTTCATTTTTATTACGCTCTTTTCAATTAAAAAAATTATGAAATTTTATAAAATCTAATCAAATATAAGCCTCTTCCAATTATAGAGTACTTTTTTAAAATTAAGCAGACACATGAAATATTTTTTTAAGTTATCTTACTAGTAACTGTATAATAAATGACGAACAAAGAATTTAAACCATCATACATTAAACCAATTCAATGCTAAATTTAATCTTACAAAAGAAAGAACGAAAGAAACGGTATTTATCTTATCTAAACGTATAGTATCTAACTCGTTATAAGATTTAAAAAGTTATAAATCTTAAATAAATTAAATAAATTGAAAAAGCGTAGGTAGAAAAGTGCGCTTCGAGATTTGAAGTATTTCTAAATGAGAATTTTATTAGGCGAATGAGAATTTTATTATTTTCGACACTTACTTGAGGGACAAGAACTCATAAGTAATAAAATATGCTAACTTGCCCTTGAGATAATCATAAAAAAATAGACACCTTGAAGAGCAGGTGCAGGTGTAAGTCAGACTTTTTACTGTTTTTATTTCCCTACGAACAATTTCAATACTTTTGTTTTTAATATTTAAAATGCATTAAAGTGATTACAGTTTTAACATTGCGTCTTTAGTTGAAGAGATACTTTAGTTTTAAAAACTGAAATATATAATATAGACCAGAGTTTAAAATGTTTAGGTAGCTTTTTTTAATAAAACGCATTAAATTAATTTTTTTTTTAATAATAATTTTTATCAGTTCAACACAAATTGCTCTTACTGTTGCGGCTTATTTAAACTTATTTATTTATGCATATCATGTTGCATATGTTTTATTTATTTTTAATATTTAGGAAAAAACAAATTTAAATGGACTTATTTTATAGAAAATCACAAAAAATATTTAGGATTTTAAGAACTGCTAAAGCTAACAGAATTATAATTCTTTTAATAAGTGGCAACGCTATTCTTAAGAGCATTATAATTATGTTTATTTTTTAAATTTTTTTTAAGAAACTACTGTCAATGTTAATTCTATGGTCAGCTTCCAAGTACTTTTCCAAATTATGTAGTTAAGTACCGGTTGATTATAGAAAAAAAAATGTCAAGTGTCCTTCTGGAAAGAATAACGTTTAATGAGAGGAATAAAATTTTGTACATAGGTGTTATTGATCTATACGCTCAAGAATGAAGTTAAAAACGATTGTGTCGCACTCACGGTTGTAGTTACAGTAACAAAATTTTCAATCGCAACACACACTTTTTAGATAGGAGCGTAATCTTTGCAGTAAAAAAAAAATAAAAACAAAAATTAGAGTTAGAACAATATTTTTAGTACAAAAAACTGTGACGCTAAGTGTAGCCGTTTTTCGTAACACCAACGAGAAGATAAAAAGAGATAAAGATGGAAATCACAGAAAACACAGAGGAAGTTACAAAGAAAGCATTTTATGTTTTACAAATCGTCAACATGTCCGTAATTTTTGTTCTGTTTTCAAAGGTTTTTATCACATTATCACATATTCTCATTAGGGGTCACGATAAATGGCGACGCTTGGCAAAGAACTATTGCTGCAATTACTTGTGCAAAAAATATCCTTCTGACTCATTTTTTAGTTTTTTACTGTAAGGAATACGCTTGGATCAATATAAATGTGTGTTGTCATTTCAAAACCTCGAAAGTTTGTACCGATAACCGTGAGAGCAGCACAATCGTTGTTCCATTATGCACAAAATTCAATTCTATTCTCTGAAAAGTTATAACTCTAAAAGGTTTCTTTGACGACAAAGTTATTTTATAATCACCTCTGTAACTCACTTCTAGAAAAACTTTTAATAATGGAAAATCCGAATATCGCAGAAACGTTATTCAAATTTCGGATATGTATCCAATATTTTTCTCAATGTTTTTAATTTTAAAAATTTATTTAATGGATACTATTTTTAATTATTATTTTTTTTAAATCTTTTTCTTTTAGAAAAGGTTATGGAGCATGTTTAGACGATGACAATGATCAAACTTTGAAGTCTGCTAGTTACAAATTTGGTGAACAGCTACCAGGACAACGATTCGATTTAGAAGAACAGTGTAAATTATCTTTAGGGAATGAGTTTAAACCACATGTGGTGCCTAAGCTTCCCTTCAATGTGAGTATTCATTACTTATTTATGAAAGAGGTAGAAAAAAAAAGGCATACATACCTCAATAAGAACCATTTTTTCCCACATACTTAGAGAATAGACCGATTTTAATTTGGATTCTAGATAGACTAGTTGCAAAACATTTTCTATCTTTTCGATTAAAGAAAAAAGTTCTGCCTTTCTACAAAAAGTTCTTTCTAAGGGAAAAGTTCTATCTTAAAAGTTAACTTTTCGATTAAAGTTTATGAATTAATCTTGGCTGAGTAAAAATTATATAAGTAGAAAGAGTATGTGTTACTAATGCAAGACAGCTATTAGTTGAAACAGTTCAAACACACGTACCAAATTATTAGCTTGTTCTAAGAAGAAAAGCAAAGAATCAGAAAATATAAACAACCTTTTTTTAGATTTTTCCTATATGGACCTTTAGTGCAATTTGTTCAAATTTATAGAATTAAACTTGGGTTTTGCAATTGAATATTAATAATTGTTCAGTGTTAGTTTAGTAATTTTAATTGAGGACAAGTTGAATTGTGACTCAAATTTAATATGCCTTAGGCAATTTATTAAATTGTTCTAAAATTCAACAAGAAATATAAATATAAGCAAATATTTTTTTTTTACTTCAATCTAAAAAATTTTCAGGATGTTTGTCGAGAATTATGGTGCGTTTCTGGTCTCTGGGCCTCAGTTGCACATCCAGCTTTAGAAGGCAGCTCTTGCGCAAATGGAAAAGTAAGCATTTTTCATTGTTTTACCTAAAATATTTAGTTTCAGTCTTTTTTACCTTTCGTTTATTATTTATTGAGAAAATGGGTGTTGTTCTAGGTTTTTCTTGTCCGCACACTTTTCGAATAGTTTTATTATTTTTTTTTTTTGACTAGATCAAGTTCAACATCATTATCACAAATAAAAGATTGAAAGAGTCATAAAAAATTAGGTTAAAATAAGCATTAATAAAAATGCAGCCAAATAAGATCAAATGAAAAAAAAAAAGAAAAAACAGACGATAATTTTTGGAGTTTAAATTAAGTTTCTAAATTCATAATTTAAATAAGTTTTTAAATTCGTTTGCGTTTTTAATGTTTTTGCATAAAATTTAAAGATTTTTTATGCTCTTTTAATAATTATTTTAGTCTAATTACTGATTTGGGGGGATTAAATTTTGTAATGAAGAAACGTTTATAGAAACTCATGACTTGAAATGTTGTCTACCCAGGAAAAAAAATGACTAATGGGCAACCGAATAATGAGATCTATTATGTGATTAATTGTTATTAGTATTATTTTGTATTTATAGCTAAAGTAATACGAACACCATTTATATTACATTTATTCAAAAGCGCATTACTACATAATGAAATACAATAAGCAAAAATTTAGTGAAAAAAAATGAAAGTTAAAAAGTAAAATTATGAATAGAAAGGATATTAGAATAGTTTATAATTTTTTTAAATTTATTTTCCTAGGGAAATATCAGAAACTAAATAAATGAAAACTAATCATAAGAAAAAAGCCTTTATCTTTAATTTCAATATCTCATATAAATCTGTTTAATATCTAGTAATTAACTAAAAGAGGTAGTAATTAACTAATGTCATGCCGCAATTTTTATGTTTTTATAACTCTGTCATTAGAATAATTAGAGGCAGTCTTCTAAATTCTTCGCTTTTCATAGATATTTTAGTTAATTTTTTTTTTTCAAACGAAAAGCGCAGAGCCGTAGTGGCTCAAGGAATAGAGCGTTCACCTCTCAATGAGGTGACCCAGGTTTGAATCCCAACGGTAGCTGGTTAATACAAATTCTGCTCCCGGCTCATACCCGCCACAGTGCTGACGTTTAATATCCTCAGTGGAAGAGGGATCATGGGTTAGAGTTCCACAAGAAGGGAAGGCTAATTTGCTCCATTGCTTGATCCAGGAGTTCCCCTGTCTTCTTGGTGGTACTCAAAATTACAAGGCTACAGAGTTAAACATTGATAGTCGTAAACTCAGAGGCTGTTCAACACTGGTTATAAAACAAAACAAAAGCGAAAATTTAAAAAATGGAAGTAAAAAATTTAATTCAGTTGGACATTTTTATGTTAAACATTAAATTTGTTTCATTTTTTAAATTAAAACGATACAACAATAAGCCTTTCTTTATATTTAATCAGATCTACATACATGTATTTTTAAAAAATTATAATTTTTTTTTCGTGTGTTTAAAAAGTCTTTCAATTGCTCCGTTTAACCAGTGGAATCCTATTTATTCAATTGCATTTACTAGTAACTGTTAAGTAATGATGCGGAAATGAAATAAGAACTATAATTTTTTAATTATAATAATTTTTAAATAAATAATAAGCATAGCAATGTCAAAAATTGAATTTAACATGACATGGTGACTGAACAAGCTGCGATTTAATAATCTTTTCAGGACCGCACTGTGGAACAAAAATCATTTTTCGAGGTCAAAAAAAAAAAAAAAAAAAAANAAAAAAAAAAAAAAAAAAAAAAAAAAAAAAAAAAAATGAAGTTATAAGAAAAAAAAATCTCAATATGGTCTTTTGTACTAAAATGTCCAAGGAATATGACGGTGTACTTTTTTGTTCTTTTTTTTTTTGGTTTATTAATGGAAATAGCAATTAAATGGAAACTAAGTCGAAATAAAAAATATTAAATTTTCAGTTAAATTTTTATTAATACAATAAATCCTTATACTAAATAAAAATATTAAAACTATGCATGATTTATACATAAATGTATTTCTAAGATATATATGAATTCATTATTTTATATAAATACTATTAAAACCAGAGCCATTTCCCTATTTCTGCCCTGTACAATGAAATTGTAATTTTAGGGTGCTCTATAAAAAAAGCCTTACGTTGCCGAGGTAAAAAAAAAATGTGTACATTAGTTCGGTATCTATACTCAAGAACTAAAAAAAAATTAGCTGCGAATATTTGCGAATTTGGCTGATATATCGATTTTTATAGTTCGTATCATTTTCATAATAATGATAAAATGAATGAAAAAATTATAAAAATAAACTTGAGATTATTATTTTTGTTATAACATTTTCAAAATTTTTTATATCTAGCAAAATAGATTCATTATTTTTTTTTAATTCGATAATCGAATTTGTAATTAACAATCTTAAATATTTTGATTATTTATTTAGTTTAAATTTGTTTTGATAAATATTTGCGATTTTACATCCATTACTTTATTTATTAAAATTATTAACCACAAATATTTGTAATCAAAGATCTCAAAAACTACTAGTAAATAATTTTTATTTATTTATTTAAAATTTTTTCAATAATAATCCGCCATTTTGTTTTTTTGAAATTTTGACTTCATATTTGAAATCAGCGACCCAAATAACCTATAGATGAACAATTTTTAGAACATTGAAATTAATTTTCTAATTTTGGCCGCATTTTTCTGATTTTGCCCCACTGTGGACCGGCGAAAGAAGAAAGCAGTTCTTATTTTCTGGGAGCCTGCACGTTCCCAGAATATAAGCACGCATTTGACCGGGCGATTTTTCCCTTTAAGCCTAATTTCATTTAAAAAATCATTAATTAATACTGCAATTAAATATGTTCTAATTAGCTATCTGATTTATCCATCAATTAAGAAATCTCGCTCCCACTTAAATATTTCACTCTTTTCGTCATGGTGAATGAAATGAAACTGGACCAAAAGATGCAAAACACGATCTACCAAACCTCAATCTACAAATGTCAAAATTCCATCCCTTCCGGCAGAACATTTACAAAAACCCAGAACGTAATACTTCATGTGCCCAATCCTTTCAATAGAGACGAACACGATAGTAATTGTTTACATCATCAAATAAATAATAATAATAACTCGGAACCGACAGTGCACATTAAAGGACAGCTCTCCGTGAGACATTATGTAAAAAAATAGCCACCTTGTGTCATTTAAAAATTTAAATGAAACGTGTTCGTGCGATCATAGGCCGCTGGACTCGTAAAGCCTTTTGCTCGTCTGACATTTATACCATGGGATGTGGTAAGAATCGCGTGATTACCTAAATGTGATGATGGTTCTGAACGGGTTAAAAAGTATGAAGCTAAAAAAATGCATATTGAAATAATTTCTATTTAATCATTTAAAAAATTTTCATATTAATTATGAATTCTTATACATTTTAACCAATTAATGATGAAATATTTAATTAAATATCACCATTTATTAAAATAAAAATGTTAAAGGGGTATAATTATTTTAAAATACAGAATTATTTTAACTGCTGAATCGATAGCAGAAATGAAATTATTCTTTAGAACTTTGTTAATTGTAATAATAAACGCTACAATTGTGTTAATCTGTCTCTTTCAGCATTGCATTCAAGGAAAATGAGAAGAATTAACATCGTATTTATGAAAAAATTTTCAAATTAATTATGGATTCTTATACATTATTACCAATTAATGATCAAATATTTAATTAAAAATTACCATTTATTAAAACAAAAATGTTAAAGGGGTATAATTACTTTGAAATACAGAATTATATTAACTGCTGAATTGATAGCAGAAATGAAATTACGCTTTAGAACTTTGTTAATAATATTACTAAATGCTATACAATTGTGTTAATCTATCTCTTTCAGCAATGCATTCAAGGAAAATGCGTAGAATTAACATCGTCGTCGTCGCTCTCCTCTCCTTCAAATGCAGAAATCGTAGAAGACATGAAAGGAGCGGTAGCTGAATTTTTGGACAAATTAAAAACAGCGTTTCACCTTCTAGCCTCTTGAAATCAAAAACGCAACTTTATTTAGGAAAGAAATCTATAAGCAAATGAGCAGACTACAAATGAGTGAAATGGCTCATAAATAATAAACTGATAGAAAAGGATTTTACAAGAAAAAAAATGAGATTCTCGTCAACTGTGATAATAGCCGAAGAAAACAGCTGTTTCGGCGTAGAGAATACACGCTGAAATGAAGATTATTTTAGAGCAAAAACTTTTAGTTATTAACTTGAATATTTTTTAAACCATACTTTGTACAAAATGATTTTCTAGAGTTGCGGTTTCCAAATGGTGTTCCGCGGAACCCTGGGGTTCGGTGGAAGGGTCACAGGGGTTCCGAGAGATTAAATTTTTCAAACCAGTCAGAATTTTTGAAACTTGCAATTGTATTTATATGAAGAAAAAAAACCCCATAATTTCTTTGATAGTTTCGTTACTTTTATGAAATTATTTACCTGAAAGTATTTTTTATTTATTTTTTAACCATACGTTGTACAAAAGTATTTTCTAGCACAGCGGTTCCCAAATGTTACTCCGCGGAACCCTGGGGGTCTATGGAAGGGTCACATGGGTTCTGAGAAATTAAATTTTTCAATCCAGTCAAAATTATTGAAACCTGCAATTATATTTATATCAAAACAACATACCATAATTTCTTTGATAGTTTCGTTATTTTTATAAAATTAGTTACGTCAAAAACCAATTTTAAAAAAAATAATAAATGACAAAATTCATAAGAAATTGCATCAGTATTTCTCGTCGAATTTTTCAATTAAAAATAAACTCACCAAATTCAAGTGTAACGAATTATGGTTCTCTGATAACTATTCTTAATGTTTATGAGAATTCATTTTCGAAAACCGCAATTCAGTTTATTTTATTCATTTTCAGCTAACCCCCAAAACAAATTCAGATCTAGACTATTACATCTACAGGCCTGTGAATTCAACTGTCAGACATAAAAACTCTAAGAGCTTTATTGATAGAACGATTATTGAAAAAGTATTCATTCTTCTCATTAAATATTATCAAAATAATTGGCCGTCTTTCTTTGACCAATATGTTCACGGCTGCTAATCACTTTTATTTATATGTTTGAGGTTCCGCCAAAAGATGATCGATAATTTAGGGCTCCGTAGCCATAAGAAATTGGGAACCATACTGTTCTAACATTTATACACATTTCATGTGATTTGCGATTACAATTTGTGATTGCCGTATAATATCCAAATGAAATTAAATGAAATCAAGAGAGTTTATAAATTAAACCCTATATAATGACCAATAAATATGATTTTTTTACAACTTTAATGTGTCATCCATAGATGGTTAATTTCGTACAAATTATCAAGTTATATTATTATTATCTTTTTTTGTTGTTGTTGCTATACTGAAAACGTTTCACGCAGAATAACACCTAATAAAATCTTACATCTTCAGAATCCTTGTAAAGAAAAGAAGACTAGCAAAATATACTCATAAGAAATCGCAAGTTAGGAAGAAAAAAAAGTCGCTATCGAAAGCTGGCAAATTATTTTAAGAAAGGTACGGGTACAAAGTATCTAAACCTTTTCGATTGCTGAAGGAAGCAGGGGAAAGTTGCAAGACGATGCTACAATTTTCAATAAACCTGCCTGTTCAGCCATAAAACAGGATTTGGTGTTTTGTACAACCACCTTTCGCAATAGTGATTAGTCAGATTTTGATAGTGGGTCAGTTTTTTCTTTGTTTAAATATTTATTTACGACGGCCCATTATACATAGTTGTTATGACTAATTCTGCAAAAACATACTATGTTTTAGAGGCTATAATGTTAAATATATAGGTTACACAATACCATATAGATTCCTTAAAATCAGATTCGAAGTCGTGACTCAGATTTAAGCCTCTTCATTACCTTCTTATATTATTTTCGAAAAAATTTAAATAGATAATATAAAAAAAATTAGAAGTAATTGTAAAAGGTAAAATCTTCTTATAATTCCCTTTCAATCAAACTTTATTTTAATCACTTCATTACTATTATTATTTTAAATAACTAGAGGTTAACCCCTGAAAATATAAATATATATATATATATATATATATATATATATATAT